TCCTTTAGGTCCTTCTTCCTTTGCAAAGTACTTATATTATTGAGGTGTGGCATAAATCTTGAAGAGATGGATAAACAATTTCACCTCATTGAAGAAAAAAGTTACACAAATTTACTATTATAACACAAGGTGGGGGGGGACGTGGGGAGGCAAATGCATTGTTACGTGAAAGGAGAAAAAATAATAATAAAAGAAATTAATTACATTACATACAAAGAGTATCCTCCAGGCGAACGTAGAAGAAAACATTTCGCACACCCAAAAGTGTAGCCAAATCGAGTGAAAAAATAATAATGTAAGAGAACTAAAAAAGGTTTTGTTTCTTAACAAGAAAAAAGTAAAGGTGAAAAAAATAGAATAAACAAATAAAATAAAGTTTTGTAGATGGAAAGAGTCCTTCGTTGTTGTGATAGAGACTTCCTTTATTCAAGTAATACTTAAATACTACATGTAGTTTCAATTTCATTTAACAATCACTCCTGATCGTCCTGTATTAGGGTTTCTCATGCCACCGTTATTACGTGAATTTTGATTACGAATGGCTTGGCTATTCTGCTGAGAAAGCGATTGAACCTGTTGTTGTTGATGCTGCTGAGGTGGTTGTTGAGATTGTGGTTGGGCATCATCAAGCGCGCTGGGTGCAACGTATAATTGTTTATCAATGACGGGTGGAATGGGTTGAATTTCGGTTCCAAGTTCTTGTTCGATTTTGTACAGGTTGAAACGATCATCGTAAGTAATAAGGTTAATGGCGAGTCCAAGGTGGCCAAAACGTCCAGATCTTCCGATGCGGTGAAGATATGTTTCCGCATTTTTAGGGAAATCGAAATTAATTACAACGTTAACTGCTTGAATGTCGATACCACGCGTGAGCAAATCTGAAAGCAGCAAGATGGGATTAATTGATTGACTAATACTAATTGTAAATGACAAGTTGATCTTAGCATGTTCTTACCTGAACACACCAAATTACGACAAACGCCATTCCTAAAATCATGGAAAACGCGATTTCTGTGATTTTGTAACATCTTTGCATGACTATAAAAACAGGAATATCCGAGTTCGGTTATTTTCTTGGCGAGAAGTTCGACCCGATTGGTGGAATTGCAGAAAATAATGGACTGATTAATTTGAAGCTGAATGCAGAAATGATTATTATGAAATAAGTATACAATTGAAAATCTCTTGGTCTCTGGCATGTAGAAAATTATAATTTACCTTGGAGAACAAGGTGTTCAGGCAGTGCACTTTTTGTCTTTCCTCAACAAATGCGTAATATTGTGTAACACCGCGAAGCGTAAGTTCATCCATTAAGTTGATTTCATAAGGCTTCACAAGATATTTATCCTAAAAGAGATGTATTTATGTATTTAGAAGACGCGTAGTAATCAAAATTCAAAGATAAACAAACAAATAAAAATCAATAGTTCAACCTTAAAGCTCTTCACGATTAAGGGGAAAGTAGCACTGTATAGCATTATTTGACGATCTTTTGGGAAAAATGTCAATAGTTGTTCGACGATCGGAGAGAATTCTGGACTCAACAATTTATCAGCCTCATCCATTACAAATGTTGGGCATTCAGAAAAATCGGCAACACCTTTTCCTGCCAAGTCCAAAATACGACCCGGTGTTCCAACAACAATGTGCACGGTTTCCGAAAGACGTAGAATATCATCCTTTAACGTCGTGCCACCTGTTGTAACCATAACTTGGACCCCCATATGTCTACCAAGCATCTTACAAACTTGTGAAGTTTGTAAGGCCAACTCCCTCGTGGGGACGAGTAATAGTGCTTGAATTTTTGGTTTTTTTACATTTATCTTTTCTAAGGCGGGAATTACGAAAGCTGCTGTCTTTCCTGTACCATTTTTTGCTCTTGCAAGAATGTCGCGACCGGTCAAGGCGATGGGTATAGATTCTTCTTGAATGGGTGACGGGCGCTCAAATCCGGCCTCGAATATACCCATCAGTAGTTCACGCTTCAGAAAGTAATCTTCGAATTCATTACCTTTTGTGGCCGTTACGTCCTTTTTACCATGAAAGAGGGTAAAGGTAAAACAGGTGAGAAGTGTAAATTTTTGAATTCAATCAAAGAATTCCATTATTATGAATTTTTACCTCGGTCTGTGGTCGATTGTCTTTAGGAGGTAGTCGTAAGGTTTTCTTCCAACTATCGCTTTCGTGACTAAAAATTTAAGTATTTGATTAATAATCATTTACTTAACCATTTCATGTGCTCAAAATAACTTGGATTTTCATGTAGGAAGGGGTATATAAAATACACATGTGTATAAGTTTCGCTTACCTGAGAGGATGTGGCTGCTGATTCGAAACATTACCAGCCATTTTTGTGTATTCGCTCTTTGGTATTACTATGTTACAAGGTTTCTTTGTTTTCGTTGTTAAATGCGGTAAATTACTTTTTGTAGGAGTGAGCTCGCCTTTTGTGTTTTCACGAATATAAGAAAATTATAAACGAAGGTCACCCGCGATATAATGTTTGGGTTTTTTTCGCGCACAGATGAAAGATTGAGCTAAAATGAGTTTCTTAATAACAGTGGCGATGCTAAACAAATGAATAACTGATTATTGTTCGTTGGGTTTATACTTTATTTGAAGGAAAACCGTCTATATGAAGTACTTTTGACGCTTGTCGTCTACAATACAAAGTTATTAGAAGACTTTATTGGATGGACAGCTAATACGTTGGTTTAAAGTTGGAGGATTTTGAAAAAAAAAAAAAAAAAAAATTGGTTTCGGTGCACAAATATTATATATGAATATTTCCACTATTACGTATTTGCCAATATTGTTTGCTGGATCAAGATCATCTATTGGATCATTGATTTTGGCTTTTTTTTTTTTTTTTTTTTTTTTTTAAGTTCAAACAAAATTATCTCTGAATAATTTATTCAAAAGTCTACTAAATACTTCAACACAAATTCTTCTGTTTCCTCAAAATAGAATCATCAATAAATGTTCATTTCACCAGTGATTGATCATATGACAATTTTCTATGTGCACTGCATCTGCCTCTAGTAATTTATTTAACATAATATAAATTCAATAATAAAAATATACTGTATATAATAGCTTTTAATAAATAGTATTTAAATTATTATTATTGTTTGTTTTTTTGAAAAGACAAGATAGTTATTACATCTTTTGTGTATTTTATTATAATTTTAAACTTGACAAGACAAAATTACAATTTTATTAAAATAATATACTTTTTTTTTTATCAAAAAAAAACATAATACAAAATTCAATAAATTAATTTATTTATGCTTCTAGAAAATTTATAATTAATAATTTTAATTTTATGTAAAAAAATATATATCAATTTTTATTTATATATACAAATATTATTTTTAATAAATTATTATTATTATTATTATCAAAATAGAAAAATAATTTTTTTTTATTTATTTTATATATAACAAATATATATATTTAAAATACTAATCTAACTATAGTACTATAACTATTTAATCAAATATCAAAAAAAAATTTATAATAATATATATATAATTAAATAATATTAAATAATTACTATATATAATATACTTAAAATTTGATAATTTATTAAAACTTTTTTCATTAATTCAAAAAACAGATGTTTTCAAAAGATTTTATATCTTTATAATAATAAGTTTATATACTTTCTTTAATACTGGTTTCTTAATTAGTAGAACAAGTAACAATTATTACTTATTTACTTTTT